ATATTAAATAATGGTTTTGACTACCTTATAACTGTTTAAAGATTAAAAACCGAATATTCGAATATTTTAATTCAATACAATACAATACAAATTTATGCAATCTTATCTCATCGATTGCCCAATTACTTGTATAAATTTGATACTTTACTAAACAAAAAATTCAAGTATCTACTGTAATTTAGAATATAAAATTCTAAGTTTCTAATTCTAATTTCATAATTTTACTAGCAATAACACGCAAAATGAAAATGTCGCAATTTATTGAACACAAGTCTCTAGTGAACAAAATGGTTTATAAATCTGAGAGATAAAAAAATAATAAAAATTTAGCGCAGTGCATTTGTTACAAAAAAATCAACATTCGAATAAATTATGATGAGATTTCAACGCTATCGACTGTACTGAATACAGTTTCAATTATTGTTATATAATTGAATGTGAGAATCTTATTTGAATAGGAGCTAACAAAACATCTACCTATAATGATATCGCGCGAGGGCACGTAGTTCAATTGCAAAAATTCCATTATCATTTTGGTTTTCTACGTAGTTAAAAGGAATCATTCTAATGGACCCAAAAGTATAATATAAAACACTGAATTTATTTAACAAAACAAGAAAAGACTACGTCATCTTCTATAATGCTACAAATCCAAGCGCAAATGTTTAAAAAACAACTTGAAAAATTATTTGTAATTGTTTCGCAAGACAAAACTATTAGCAGTCAAATCTATTAAGCAACTCAGTCTACTTTAAACTAATATTTGAAAGTTCAAATGGATGGATGATTTCAAATGATTCAGAAAATTCTAGTGATATATAAATCAAAATGTACTCGGAAGCGGCAGTAACTGCGTCCACGCAATCAATTCATTTTGTATAATGAAAAGCCTAAACTAATATTTTAAAGTTTAAATGGATCGATAATTTGAAATATTTCAGAAAATTCTAGTGATATATAAATCAAAATGTACTCGGAAGCCGCAGTAACTGCGTCCATGCAATCAATTTATTTTGTATAATGAAAAGCCTAAACTAATATTTTGAAGTTTAAATGGATGGATGATTTGAAATATTTCAGAAAATTCTAGTGATATATAAATCAAAATGTACTCGGAAGCCACAGTAACTGCGTCCACGCAATCAATTCATTTTGTATAATGAAAAGCCTAAACGAATATTTTAAAGTTGAAATGGATGGATGATTTCAAATATTTCAGAAAATTCTAGTGATATATAAATCAAAATGTACTCGGAAGCCGCAGTAACTGCGTCCACGCAATCAATTTATTTTGTATAATGAAAAGCCTAAACTAATATTTTAAAGTTTAGATGGATGGATGATTTGAAATATTTCAGAAAATTCTAGTGATTTATAAATCAAAATGTACTCGGACGCCGCAGTAACTGCGTCCACGCAATTAATTCATTTCGTATAAGGAAAGCCAAAATGATCAAAACTAAAAATAAACCTACAAGTTCTACGTATTACGGAAAACTCGGTACCCACGAAATCAACTTGAAAACCTTGAAATTAATGCAAGAAATATGTACCACTGACCTTTTCTCTTGTAAACTGTGCTGCATCAGGTTCAATTCCTCATGTAAATTGGACTGCATCAATTTTAATTTCTCCTGTGAAATGGACTGCAACATGTCGTCTGGACTACCAAATTGTTGTAACTGCAATAAAAATCATTATCATTAGATACGCGTGAAATGATTTTATTGTTGAATAAAAATATTGCATTTCGATATAAATTCATAGTTACCTCAATATGCAGAAAACGCAGAAATCACTTCGACACGCAAATCACTACACTAACTAAACATACTGAACTACATTCCGAAATTTAAAAAAAATAAAAACTTGAACAAAAGCACTCGACAAGGAAGTCAATTACTAACACTTGAAATTATTATAGTATTTTTAAAGACAACGATCGCAACTAAACTAAACTGAATTCAATTCGAAACGATGCCGAACTTACGCAACAAGCCGATCAACTACGTCCACTTCACCGAGACCCTTCTGTCCAACGCCGCAGCCGAAATGGAAATGAAATTATGTCGCTGGCCAAGTGCAGGGCGTGGCCTATCCCCACTCGAGGCGTGGCCTATATCTCTGTCCTTGTTCTGCTCAGTAATCCTATGCGTGGAATAGAGTGCGAAATAGTACTCGAGCGCACTCGCACACGATATAGTTGTCCTTCTCTGTACGCAGTATTGCATAATGACCGACCGGCTTCCGAAAGAACCTCCGCCATTATTATGTTGTATGAGCTTCTGTCTGTCGGCAAAGTGCAACGTAAAATTACAATCAAAATTTAAAGGAACTCTTTGTCAAATTTGCGTTATTTATCTAAAGTAATTGATAAAATTTTAATATGTTATTACATATTAGTAATTGATAAAATTTTAATATGTTATTACATATTAGTCCACAAAAATGCGTTTTTTGACTTGTAACTGATAGAATACAATTTGTTAAAAGATTGTTTAGACTTTGCAATGTAATATTATCAGTACCTACTTTTTGCATACCTAAATAAATTTCACTAAACTTCATTGTTTAATTTTGTTTGTAAAGTCATTAAACATTATATACCGATCTGCAGACAATTTTATTAGGTAATAATAAATTTAAATTACTTGTAGTAAAATGTGGTTATAAAAAACCGAGGTCAAAGAAACTACAGACTAAAAATGCAATAAAATGAAACGCCACTTTGATATGATACAAATATTTTGTTTGTTTTTAAAAATCATTTATTATAAAATTGATTTTATGGGATATTATAAAAACACATCGAGCTAATTAATTTTTGGTCAAGATTGCTTTTTGTTTAAGTAATTAATAATATTTAAGACACCGGGAGAAGACAGAGGCAACTAAGGAATGCAATTCCGATGGAAAATTTCAATACCGGTATTTCGGTAATTTTTCATTTTAAAACCGGAATACCGGTAAATTACCGGTATTTTTATTATCTTAAACAAACGTAAACAAAATTAAAAGTTACTAGTACAAATATAAACAAATGTCTATACAACTACAACTATATTCAACTAAACAATTAAAACAATAAGTTTATTTTTTTAAATAATAATTTAACAAAAGTATATCCAATTTAATTAATTCATTATCACTATCGAGTATGTTGAGTACTTTTCACGAAAACAAACTTATGAGTAAGATGGACCAAAAACTCATAAAAGATCATATTACATTATTATAATAAACTGTATTGTCTGTATCCGGTCCGTTTAAAAAAATAATTTTTCTACAAATATATAATTTAAGATCGGATACTTTGTCGAGATAACGACAATTATCTAATCAACGATAATTGAGTACTGTTATTTAAAACAATGTGATGCTTCTATAGTATTTTCAAACTTCGAAACGTTGTCGAAAAATAATATTTTATAATTGTAATAAGAACCAAAAATATTTAATAATTATCATAATTATTATGTATAAAGTTAGAAAAAATAAGGGTATGATATAAAATATTTTGGCGCAAATATCACTTAAAAAATCGTTACATTTTTACAAAAGATGAAACAAACATCATAATCTATCAGTTCAATTCTATTTATTGTAACACGATATGAAGCCCTTAGTAAAGCAATAAATATTCAGTTTAATGACGAGTTGAGATTATGGAATTTAAAGATAAATTTGTTCAGAGATTTTAAACTTTAGTGTATTGTGTATCAAATAGCGCTTATGTAAAAATACCGAAAATACCGGTATTTTTGGGATAAATACCAGTAAAAATACCGCCAAAAAATCGGGCGGTTATATACCGGGTATACCAGTTTGCATTCCCTAGAGGCAACCATACCATTATTTCCCGATGAGTTGGCACTCAGAATAGTATCTCGTTATGTTTGATAATAACTTTATCAAACATCATGTTTGATAATAACTTTAATAGAATTCCAACAAATGGTTTTAATATATCACACGTAAGAAAAATGAAACCCAAAACGCACCTAATCATTTTGTAAAAGCGCGTCCAATTCATTACAACTTTTTTTTTGTTTACACGCTTGACTCAAATATTATAATACACAAGCTAAATTTATATATCCATGGTTTTTAATAAAGTTTTGGTCGTTTTATATGATTCAAATTATCAAAGATATGCTGTTCTTCATTTTGTCAATGTAATTTTTTTTGCATGAAATTGGACGCTCCTTTTCTCAAAAACAGAATTATCATTTTTGCGATTTTGACCCGTCTCTTCGAAACAGTTGGACCTGCCTTGGCCAATAACTAATCAGCACGTCTCCCTATCAATAGGAATCGAATGTTTTTTGAATCACTCAAATCGGTTGATTCGTGTTCTCGAAATCGACTTCAAAAATTAAAAAAATATTACATTTGTATTGATGGGGAGACGTGCACAGGTAGGTCCAGCCGTTTCGATAAATGGTCTGTAACAGCAACGCTGCGCAACTTTGAAGAGTTCATAGTTTTCAAAAAAATTCAAAATACAAAAAAAAAGGTTTTTAAAGTCATTTTTTTCATTATTCAAAAAAATTTAAAGCTCCTTATATAAGGTAATTTTCAGTACGGGATGTTCCAGTAATTTGCCTTAAGGGCACATATTCGTCATCTTAACATATCTTTCTTAAACTTTCAGCTCGTTTAATACAAATTGTATACTATTAGCCAAATTACCTAATTTGATAATAACTTATTAATTCGATAATTTACATTCAGAGAAAAAGACCGGGCAAAATAATAAATTTTAATAATCGGTTATTTGAACCCAAATGATTCACATCAATTCATATCAATCAAATTTATTACACAATTCATTGTGAACTGTCGTAATCTAGCACAAAAATATTTATTCAGATCTGAATATATATATACACAAATAGAAGTATAATATAAATATACAATTTAATTTATAATAGTAATATAATATACATATTTAAATTAAACATTAAAAATATTTCACAGCTTTATCAAAAGTTTTTTTAAACAGAATTTTCGCATGACTAGATTTATCTAAATCTCTCAAATTTCATAAAATAAAGAAGCTAAAGGATATCGAATTGTAAAAGCAATCAATGAACAAATTACTTGTAAGAATAGCAATATAGAAGTCAACTTAGGTTCATGCATTGGGCCAAAAATTCGTAGCAGATAATTTATCAAAGTTAGATTATTTGTAACAACGTAATCATGCTTCTCATCCCAGTCTATAATTTTAAAAAATTTATATGCAGTGATCACATAATAGGAAAAATTACTTAGTTCAGAAAGCTTGAATACAGTTATGCTGATTTCTAGTTTATTGGAATTCTCATTTAATTTGGGAATTCTATGCCTGGGGCAAGGAATTAAATGAAACAATTGAGGTATAGAATATAAAAAATTTAAAATCTGTGGTATGAAAAACAGTAAAACTGTTTTACTAAAATGACCCAATATGCCCACAACGGCAAAAGTCATACCAGAAAGATAGCAGAACGTATCTCCAACAAATACATCCGAAGGATACCTACAAATTAAATCAATGTATTATTTCTAAACATTTTGTTTCACTTCATTTAATTAAAATATGATAAATACCAATTATGTCGCAGTAAGGCCATGGTTGTAGCAATGTATGGAATCATAAAATACAATGAAAACATGTGGGTCTTCCACAACTCCCCACCTAATTCAATAATATTAAATATTATTATAGATAGTGCTATTATAACACTTTGACCTGCCTCTAAACCATTTACACCGGCAAGAATATTAATTGCATTGGTACAAAAGACTGCTAGCATTCCCATAAAAATGTAGTATAATGAACCTACCAAAAATATCATTACATATAAATATTTATGAAGGTGATATAATATAAAATACTCAAAATACCTAAATTAATACTCAAACCAAATATTTCTCGAAATGGTTTTGGAATTAAGATTGTTGTAGAATTAAAATTGACATAATAAACCATCAACAATGGTAATGAAGCTATAGTGGGAAGAAGCAATTTATGCCGCCATCGCAAGTCTAGAACATCATCTGCAAATCCCAATAACAACATACAACAGATCGAGAGTAATGCAGCAATAAGTTCAACAAACTAAAATTAATTGACATGTGAAAATTTCTGTAGTATAAAAGTATATATAACTTGCTTGAAACTATCTACTTCGTGATGTGGAAAACTAGATTTATCCAATATGTTGCTGGTGAATGGAACAGGAATAAATAAAAATAGAGTTATTAAAAAGATGCACCCAGAAACTGCACCCATTGCTTCAGGACTGTAAAAACAATTATATTTATAAGAAAAACATTTTCCAAAATTACATTCAAAAACATATTGTACTTACATTTTTTGAGAACTAACTTTGTTCAAATCAATTCCATAAAGATTAGATTTGATAAACATATCTTTGATTTTAGGAATTATTCTATACGTAACATGGTAAGCCATTAAGGACATAAAAAAACATATAACTAAAGGAAACATTTTAGTGATTATTAACTCAATAGTCACATTCATCAAAGATAAATAAAAAAGTAAAATTTACACATAATTTACATGTTTTTATATTTTGATACAGCTACAAAAATGACAACAGGTTAGTATTGCCAGATGTTACTTTAGGAATCTCTGATTGGCTGAAACGGCAAATACGATATTTATTTTGCCAACATGAAAGTAGTACATTTTTGAAAACGAAATATCACTTTGTGCTAACGACATCAAAATCATAGATAAGTAAGCATAATGATCAACATGACATCCCCTATTCCTATTAATTATTTACAATATATCTAATCGTTAATCGCTTTTGTTAAGACAATAAATAAGTTTTTAAGAATCATATTGGTTTTTTAATACTTACTGAATTCCTTGTTCGAAGCTGAACTCAAATTCCAGATACTTCGCACTGATTTAGCAATGGTGTTAGTCAAATAATTTGAACCACAATGTTTTGGAACAAATTTGATAATTGTTTATTCATAGAATAGATATAAAATACAAGATAAGCGTGAGAAAATATTAACCTAATTATTATGCGATAAAATTAATTCATGAACCGCACATCATGCATTCGTCTTTATTTTGAAGTGAGCAAACCATCTCAGCCATTCTTAGATCATTCACACCATTTTCTATTGATTCAACTTTACCATTAGGAACTTTATTGTCCAACTTTCTCTTATCAACTGTAAATTGTATAGCTTGTGCTGCTGGTTTAGTCCGCAAATAATACATGCCCGTTTTAAGTCCCTTTTTCCAACCATAGAAATGTATTGAAGTTAGTTTACCATAGTTTGGTTCAGCAACATGTATATTAAATGACTGACTTTGATCTATGAAAGCACCTCGATCAGCAGCCATATTGATCAAAACTTTATTAGAGATTTCCCAAACTGTCTTATATAGATCTCGTATATTTTTTGGAATAGATTCAATTTGTTGAATTGAACCATTTGCGCCAATAATTTTGTTCTTCATGTCGTCATCCCACAAATCACATTCAGTAAGATCTCGCAGTAAATGATGATTGACAACTTGAAACTCACCAGATAATACACGTCTATTGTATACATTTGATGTATATGGTTCAAAGGATTCATTATTTCCTAATATTTGGGCAGTAGAAGCAGTAGGCATAGGTGCTAGAAGTAAAGAATTTCTAATACCATGTTTCGATATCTTTTCTTTTAATTGAGACCAATCCCATAAACTAGTTGGGGTTACACCCCACATATCATATTGTAGAATTCCTTTGCTTACTGGGCAGCCTTCATAAGTACTATAAGGTCCATCTTGTTCAGCAATTTCACAGCTTGCTTCCAAAGCTCCAAAATATAATGTCTCAAATATCTGTTTATTCAACATTTGCGCTTCTTCGCTTTCAAATGGATATCTCATTAAAATAAATGCATCAGCCAAACCTTGCACTCCAATTCCAATTGGACGATGCCTCATGTTAGAATTTTTGGCTTCAGGTACCGGATAATAATTGACATCTATGATCTTGTTTAAATTCTTTGTCACTACTTTTGTGACATACTTCAACTTATCAAAATCATATGTCTTATCAGATTTCACAAACATATTAACTGCTATAGAAGCTAAATTACAAACTGCAATTTCATCTTTAGATGTGTACTCAACTATTTCAGTACATAAGTTGCTTGATTTAATTGTTCCCAAGTTTTGTTGATTACTTTTGCGATTGCATGCATCTTTATACAGCATATAAGGTGTCCCTAGAAATATAAAGTTTCATCAGTACTTGTATAAATATTTACAGCATGCATGTCATTTATCCTCATCCTCAATATTTTTTAGTACATAGTGAATAATTATACAAAGAAAGAAACACTGCAATAAAAAACTGTATTGAATAATAAGTTACCTGTTTCAACTTGTGATTCTATTATAGCAAACCATAGTTGTTGTGCTTTAACTTTATTTTTATATCTTCCTTCCTTCTCATATTTCTCATATAAACTTTTGAACTCATCCCCCCAACAGTCACTTAAGCCTGGTGATTCATGAGGGCACATCAAACACCAATCTCCATTTGCTTCAACTCGTTCCATGAATAAATCAGGAATCCACAAAGCATAAAATAAATCTCTTGCACGAACTTCTTCTTTACCAGTATTTTTTTTTAGATCCAAAAATTCAAATATGTCTGAATGCCACGGTTCTAAATAAATAGCAAAGGCGCCTGGACGTTTATTTCCACCTACACATTATAAAGATTTAGTTTTATAGATCTGCAATTTTGTTGTTTTTTAAAAAATACCTTGATCTACATATCTGGCAGTATTGTTGAAAACACGGAGCATAGGAACAAGCCCATTAGAAATTCCATTGGTTCCTGCAATGTAAGTGCTTTTTCCACGAATGCAATGAACGTGTACTCCAATGCCGCCAGCAGATTTCGATATAAGAGCACATTGTTTTAAAGTATCATAAATCCCTTCAATACTATCTTCTTGCATAGCAAGTAGAAAACAACTTGATAATTGAGATCTCGGCGTAGCAGCAGCAAATAATGTTGGACTGGCATGAGTAAAATATTTTTCAGATAATAAGTTATAGGTATCTATTGCTGCATCAATGTTTTCGCCATGGATTCCAATAGCTACACGCATTAGCATATGTTGTGGTCGTTCAACTACTTTTCCATTAATTTTTAATAAATAAGAACGCTCCAATGTCTTGAAACCAAAGTAATTGTAACTGAAATCTCTATCATAAATAATAGCAGAGTTAATGCGATCTGCATTATCCATTATTATTTTATGATGAAAATCTGATATCATTGGTGACCTCTTTTTAGTATACTCATTAGTCATATTGTACAAATCATCCATGACATCTACAAATATTTTTATAAAAGTTAAAAAAAATCGACATAATTTCATAAGGTTTCTGCATAGTGTATTAACAATGTTCTGTAGGAAACTAAAACTAATGTAAACATGCACTATATCTGATGCTAACCTGAAAATTGTTTCTTTGTTTCTTTGTGCAAGTTTGAAACAGCTATTCGTGCTGCAAGAACGGCATAATCAGCATGATTTGTTGTCATGGTAGCAGCAGTTTCTGCGGCCAGATTATCAAGTTCTTGAGTTGTAACTCCAGTATATAATCCATTTATGACTTTTAATGTTATTGAGACCTAAGGCATAGAAACATTAGTGTTTATTTTCATATTACAATTTATATAAATCAGAAATCATACAGGGTCTACAAAATCCATGTTCAATCCGTAACATAGCTTTTGAATCCTTGAAGTGATTTTATCAAAATGAATTTCTTCCTTGCGGCCATCTAAAATATTACAAATTGAAAAAAAATAAAGGATAAATAATTTATATAGATGATGCAAGAACAGATTTATAAAACATACCTCGCTTAAAAACATACATCTTGTTGGGTTTCCCTACCATGTTGTGTATTGAATGAAGCAGATTAACTTAAATCTGCTTTATGCCACGATACTTCAAAACACTAAATGCCCGATGACATTAAAATTACGATTCTAGACAAAACACAACTTGGTTACGAAGTTACAAAAAATGCTGTGCGCTTTTGGCGCGCAAACAATATAAATTCGAATGTTGGTATCACCCGTATCACCTATTAGCAAGCTCATTGTGTATGAATAAATTTCGAATAATTTTGTTGGTAACACGTAAGCGCTTTCTTCGGTTCGTTATTGTTCGTTATTGCTTCCTGTTTCTTTTCTAATAAATGAGTAAAATGATAATTATCATATTATGATAAATATATAATACTATTGTTTCAGTACAACTGAATGAAATAAAGTTCGTAATATAATTTTTATAAAACGATATTTTTCATTAAATCTAATAGAAAAACATTATTATAAATCAAGGAAACAATCAAATACATTTTTATACAAAGTATAACATCTTATTTAAATTAAGTCATATTGAAAAGTATATAAAGATATAGATAAAAGAGTGTGAGTCGGACATGCTACTAACTAAGCTATGTCCGCCACAACTCATAAGTTATTTAATTTATAAAAAGAATTTAAAATCTGCTATGGCGTGATTTTATAAAAATATTTTGAAACATTCAATAACTTTAATAAAATAGATCATTACTGAAACAATATTTTTATTCATATACCTAAAGAACTCATTTTTAAGAATAAAATTGTAAATATCATGAAGTCTTTTGTACTGCGCATATGGCGGCTTCAAATATACATTTATTTCATGTATATTTGTATCTAAACTAAGCTCTGCTTTTAGTGTTATTCACTTTTATTCAAATAGTTTCCATCTTCTCCAAATCTTTCATTTTCCCCAGAACTAGCACAAGGCGATTCCGGCTCGAAATGTAAAAGTTCGATTTGTGACAAATATGGTTCAGAGAGTGGCGAATCAAGAGATTCTACTTCAAGAGGAAGTGGAACAGCCTGCGGCGGTAGCAAATCTGGTGAATATTTAGTGATTGCTCTTGCCCTCCATAGGGGTACAACACCCTTGGGCTGAGTTGGAGTAGGGTCCTCCTCCTGAAAGATATATTAGGGTAGCACTATTATTTTGAAGAGATATAAATCTCATTGGAATACTATTGATAGCCCAAATCTGATTGATAATAATGAAAATATGTTTAATCTAACCGCGTCGTTTGATTGCTGAGGAGGCTGCTGCTCTTCTTGTTTCAATTGTTCATATATGGCAGCATCAAATTGAGGATCTCGAATCCAAGTATAATAACCGTGTTGCATACAATTAAGTTCAAAAGTAAAACATCCGTTCCCTCGAGGCAAGTTACGCGACCAGGAGCCATAATAACGATGTCTAGGATGAACTAACTGACCTGGACCTTCCATTACGCCAAATTGCCAAGTTCCTGATAAAGGCAACATTGTTCCTCAATATAATAAAATAAAAAATAAGAATAAAACAACAATTCTTACATATCATTTTGGTCAAAATTAAGTAATATTATTATTAAAAATCATTACCCATAAACTTTGTCTGAGTTAATGCGTAAATGTAAGTTCCTAACCCATGTCGTTTATTGCGGCGCCACGATCCTTCGTAGTTGTCGCCATTTGGATAATAATAAACTCCAAAACCGTGGCGAAGATCCTTTTTGAAATCTCCCTCATAACGAGATCCATCCGTATATAAAAATCTACGAAAGTGATAATTTTAAAATACGTTTTTTGTCTTATTAGATTTATATGTAGAATAATTGAGAATAATAGTATTCGGCTCACTTTCCAATGCCGTGTTTGAGACCTTTGCGCCATTCACCAGAGTATCTAGCTCCATTTTTAAAAACATACTGTCCTTCTCCGTGTCTTAGGCCCTTTCGGTACTGACCTTCATATTGATCACCATTGGGAAGTAAAGCCCATCCGAATCCGTGCCTGTCGCCCAAAACGTTACGCTCTCCGTCGTAATCCTGTAAAAGGATAGACTTATAACATAAAACAATTATAATAATATGTTAATTTCAAAGAAATAGTTAAAAACCCAGACTTTTAAATCCATGAGGTTTAAAAGAAGATTGCCTGATTAGAAATTGCTGCACACGCCAGCTAGTAGAAATTAAAAGACGAATCATCAGAAAGAACTGTAGAACAAATTGGAAGAAGAAAATGTTCGCGGAATATAGTCAATTTCTCTGCAACAGGCCAAGAATCCAAGCTGAATTACTAAATTACCCAATGGAGTGAGTGACCTCTAATAAAAATACAATTTTCAGCCCAATTATTTAAGTGTACTTGTACGTACACATTTGTGTATTCAACCACAAATACCTCAGAAATTATTGATTATTATGATTGCTCTATTTATAAATAAATTAATAAAAAAAAATAGAAATACGTAAGCTTACCCCGTAAGGATATTTGTCTGCATCTTCACCTTCATTCTTTCGTGGACTTTCTCCTTCTTCCTCGTCAGACATATTACATCACTTTGATACAAAACAATTTGTCAATAATATTGTTTGCTGAAAACAATTTGAAGTTTTCCCTGTTGCTTAGATTATATTATTAAATTTCCGATCGCATTGATATGATCGAGTAGTCAATTTAAATGACAACAGGAACAATTAAATTATTAAATTTTTAAAAATGTGTTTGTCGAAAAATTCAAAAAGTACAGTATTTAATAGATTATTGCAATATATTAATTCAACTACAATATCTGAAATTGTGTATAATACCAAAATTCGATAAAAAAAATAAATAAAGAAATGAAAATAGATATTGACTTTCAGAGAACTCATATTAACTTATTTTTTAATAGAAATTTTATTAATTAACATTGCTTTGTTAACAATTTACAATTCATGGTCGCATTTTTTAAATTATCTAGATCTGTAACATTTACAATTGGGACGATTATGATAAACTGAAGCAAGATACGATGCGATTTGAGTTTTACGTTTAAGTTATATTTGCAACATTCTTAGCCAATGTGCAACTTTCTCATAAATGTTTGCAGCAATCACAGACAATCTGCAACATTCTGTGGTGAGACATTATATAACATTTTTACAACTTATATTTTTAGACAACTCACAATGTTGTCTCTTTTTGAGCGTTGAATTTACCGCAACTTTGTTAGATTAAGACGAATTAAGTATAAGAAAAAAATACATAAGCATTTATTATATTCTAAAATCAGCATTTATTATAATAATTGTTTTATATACTAAAATATTTCCTAGCATTATTTCCAAATATTCTCTTTAAAGAAGAAACACACAATAATTTATCCACATGAATAGACAAAACTCACTATTTAAATCCTGAATTCATAAAAATCTATTGATTTTGTTCAAAATTGTCGTGTGTTGCTGGTAAGCATGTTCAGCAAAGCTTGCTTTTCCTTTTCTTTTTTGCGAACCACATCGAGGGATCTGTTTTTCCAGCAACTCTTTCTCAATTTGATGGGACGACTGCCCACATAACGTCCTGGAAAAAAGATATATAGTTCTACTTATTCTTTTACCGAAATGAAGATAACTATTGTTATATTTACCGCGATTATAATTTTGGCACATTCGGCAAATACATATTTATCTCGCAATTCGCGAATATAAACATTCAAAAATATTTTCATCAACTTAAAGTTATTTCTGTCAAATGCTCGAATCAAAATCAGAATTGTGAATCAGCGCTTTGGAACTTTAGGTTATTTGTGGGCGAGAATTCGTTTAGGAACAAATTGAGAGGTGCATCATTTACCGAGATAAACGATAATTGATTTAAATTTAACATATTTTGAAAAATAATTTTTAGATTAATTTATTAATTTAATCAGTTAACAACTGTGTCATTCTCATTTAAGAGTAAGCTTATGATGAGTATATTCGTCAATCACATAGTAAGATGGGCTTTTAAAACAACGGATGAGAAAGATGGGTTTATTTTAAACAGTAGATACTAGATACGTTATTTAAATACTTCCACATTTCGGGAAGTTCATGCTACATGTCTGAAGGTAAAATACCACTTACAATTACTTATTTTATACAGTCACATATTTTATACATTTTTGAATACTCGTATACTTAGTTTTTCTCAAAAATTTCAAGTTGAATAGCGAAATGATATGTTTTAAACGCATGGCGAATATACTCGTCAATATACAAAATTTTGCTAAATTTCCATGACGAAAATTTTCGATAACCGCAGTTAACCGATTAAAAAATTTAATATATCTGATATATATAAGATATCAGCTGGAATTCGCATTGATTAGCTTTTAGCAAAAAAAAACCGTTGAAAACTTCAATTGACTAAATCTCAATTCTTATTGATTGTATTATACATGTCTGCAAAATGCTACTATAAACTATAGTTATTCATAATTCGACATGTTGGCTACTAAGTTATGAATAATATATATGTTTATATATCTCTAAGAATAAACGTATGTTGTTTATAGAGACAAATGTTGTAAATAATACAATCTTTAATAAAATGTAGTTCATAAATGAGATACACGTGACGCGAATTAGATACAAAACTATAAAATTTCGATAAGCGAGTGTTTGTCTCTATTTTTATCAAACATTTTGCGAAAGAAAATCATAAATTGATTAATAGTAAACCCAATTAAAATTTTACGACTTAGCGCCGGCTAGTCGCCTTAAAACAAAAACAAATTCAAATTGATTGAACTGACTAAAAGAGTTCGACTTATGTAAAAAGAATCATCAAGAATGGGATGGAATGAGTTTATTCATTAATTTATAAGAATTTCTTGATCTACTGCCCGTAGAGTTCAAAAAGGTCGCCTCGTAAGTGAATTTTTAGTGGTGTCACGACCCCGGCGGCATAATATTCAATATTTTTAATATAACGAGAGTTATTAATAGATCCATAATGGTTTTCTGGAAGCGCAGAATGTCAATGAAATCAAAATCAAAAACGATATCATTGGATGACAACTGTACTCTGTCAGATCAGCAAAATTGCACTCGCCACGTCTTTAATTATGAACTAAATATGCATATGAACTTATAATTTAAATCCGTATCATGATAATAAATAACTAATATTTTGCTTCAAAAATCATTTGTGCTATTAAAATTAACACTCGCTTAAGTTTAGGGTAGACCATTCAAAGTGGAAGCACCTTTTAAAGTCCTTATCCTTATCGAGTTTGAATTTTTGAGATCGGTTGAGCCATTATCAAGAAAACATCCACAAAAGGTCAAAAACTTCTCCTTGGAGAAGTTAAAATTGAACAATTAGTTAAAATCTTGCATATCTTTACGTTTTATAGGTTTCTGTACATTTTAGCATACCTTAGGGGGCGTCCTTTAATCACATGAGGTTTTTAGGTTTGACAAAAAATCATGGCTGGAGGAAGCTGTCTAGTAAAATATCACGTGTATTTACTTTTTATATGAATTTTCAAAAAAAAATATGATTTTTCGTAAATTTTACGTAACTAGAACTACACGTGATGTTCAGTGGGAGAGGAGGGGTAATTTTAAATATCACAAAGTATCACCAAGTGGGAGGGAGGTCCAAAAATCCTATAAAAACCGATCACGTGATTATCGGACGTCCTCTTAGAAAAAATGAATGTATGTGTATGTATGCGGATACAAATTTTCGTCGGAACACGGATCAACCGATTCGAATAATCGAAAAACATTCGATTCGTATCATTCGGAAGACCAGCTGATTAGTTTTTGGTAAAAGTAGGTCCACACGTTTCGAAGATACAGAACAAAAAGTGCCAAAAATGCTAATTTAGTTTTTGAGAGAACGGAGAATCGCAGACAGGTCGAACGGTTTTGGAAAAATAATAAAAAAGAAAAAAAAGCCATTGGGGGGTCGAAATCGTCATTATCAAATCAAATATTTTATGAAAATATTAATAACTACAAATTTTATTGATCTATGGGTTCCGTACTAATGTTTATCCGCTTCGATAGTTCGTCTCTAAAACAGCTGCATTGCTTTGAAAAAAGTTGACAATATAAAAAAAATCTAATTTTTCAAAAAGGTCATTTTTTTTTCAAAACAATGTTTTTTTTTAAATTTTAATTTTCGATACGAGAAGTTCCAGCAATTTTTCTTAAGGCGCGATGCCATGCATTAATACTTTGATATTTATTTATATAAATTATCTCCACTGCTTCCGAAACCAATTATATATGTATATATATATAACGATCATTACATTATTCGATTATTTATAGAAGCATAATGTTATTTTTGTAAAAACACATTTCTATATGACGCAGACCGTGGTGATTTGTAAACGCATCGTCATTCCTTGACTTTACAATATCTGGTACAAGAATTTCAAATATTTAGCTGGCAGGGAGTAAATAGCTTTGTAAATGAATAAATTTCAGCCAAAACAAAATTATATTCAGTTTAACTTTGATACGATTCCAGATGTAAATTTGGATCAACTTTAGACTTAAATAAGACCTCTGACTAATGTTTTTTGTTTGCTTGTTCCATTTCTCCTGAACTTGAACCAAAACTTTCGTTCAAATTATGAAAGTGCATTGCCAATGGCATCTTCAATAATGTGCTAGATTTTTTTTTATTAAGTTCAACTATCTAAAGTATTATTTATTTCAGCCTTGAATTCAATTCATCGCTTGTATTCAACAAAAAAAATCTATGAATAAGTCAGTGATTTCTATGCATTTTCTTTAAAATAATGTTTGCTTTATTTAATACTTTGATTGCTATTAAAAATTTAAATTAAAAAAATAAATACGTATGCTCAAAATCGTAATTTTGATTCTATTAAAAAAATTCAATCAGAAATTTTACATAAATATATAATATTTTAATCTTATTTAAACAATTTTATTCGAAATATATGGAGTTAGTTGCTCTATATAATTAAAAAGTATTATTTAATTAAAAACTAAGGACTCAATATTTCTATGAAAAAAATCATCATAAATTTAACTCAAATATTGTAAATTATATGAAGAATATCATAAAAATCTAAAAATTAGTAAATTATATGAAATTGTCATGAATAGAATCGTTAAAAATACAATTTGTCTATAAATTGTCTATAATGTTGTAAACTGCACTATAATTGTGTAAATTGTCTAAAAACGTAAATTGTTTTAAAATTTTGTAAATTGTCATAAATAATCTTACAATATTGCAACTTGTGTAAAAATGTTTTAACCTAAACTGTACAAAAATTTTGTAAATTGTCTGAAAATGTAAATTATATCAAAATTTTGTAAATTGCACTAAAACTTTGTAAATAGTATCTAAATATGATATAAATTATTTAAAAAAAATTGTAAATCGTATGACATTGTAATGAATAGTCTTACAATATTGCAATATGTCTACAAATATTGTATATTTTATGAAATTTTTATAAATTGTCTATAAATGTTGTAGTTTGTCTGAAATTGTTGTATTATAAAAATATTATAATTGTCCATAAATG